ACCCATGAACCTTGTGCATCACGACCGACCATCGTCGGACGCCCGCCCCCCCCCCCCCAAACACGCAACCCGCAATATCGATTTTCTGCTCACACCCCTTCGGACATGATTACCAGAAACCTGCTTTCTCTTACGCCTCGACATTGAATTTTTTTTTGTTGCCCGCCCGACCCCGGTTTCTCTGACAAGACACACCACTAACCAATATACACACAGGTGTATGCATGATTCATCATTTTTCTGATATATGTGCCAAGAAAAAGAAAAAGAGAGACACACACATAGCCCGCCCGCCCGCGCTCACACACCCCGGCCGTCCCAGCACCGGGCGAGCAAATAACCCGCTGCCCATTTTCCCACGCTCCGAAACCCCCCCCACCTGTCTAAGTAAGTAAACTCGCCGGGAAACCCGCTAAAATCAATAGCACCCATGTTTCTTTTATTTTTCTTTGGACTTCTCTTGTTTCCGGGGGGAGGGTGGGTTTCCATTTTCTTACGTGCGTTAAAAAAAAAAGTGTGTGTCTATTACACATACATACATACCCACATACAAACAATCATCATGTGAGTTGCCGAGGTAGAGCACATAGCGAAAGAAAGAGAAAGAGAAAGAGAGAGTTCTAGACAGAGTAGAGAGACTTGGGACAGCCTTACCGTGTGTAGGGTAAGATAAGGACAGGGTAGAAGGTACTATAGTGTAACCTGTAATCCCATCTCGGTCCATCTCCTCCACGACCGGACCCTACAATACACCACTACCACGACCGCAAACACCTTGAAGTACCATGCCCACACGCACGCACGCACGCACGCAGCAGGGGCAGGGGTAGGGGGGGTTGGTGAGCTAATCCAATCACCCGGGTCCGGTCACCTCCGCGCCAACCACCACGCGCGGAGCCTGGCCTCTCCTCCCCCCCCTTACAGCCCTTGCTCTCTCTCTCTCTCTCTTCCCCCGCTCACACAAAACCCATAGCCCATGTCAAGCCCCCCCCTCTCCCCTTCCCAAAGAAGATAACAGGGACCAGTTGGATGGATGGAAGGGCAAGAACTACCTAGTATGTAGTTCGCCCGACCCGTCCGTTGTCAAGACGATACTTAGTTACAAGGGGAAGAAAGAAGAAGAAGAAGAAGAAGAAGAAGAAGAAGAAAAAAACAAGGCCCCGGGGAATTGTACTACTGGGGAAAGCAAGATTAAGAGAGAGAGAGAGAGAGAGAGAGAAAGAGAAAGAGACTACTGTAGTAAGACAGTGAGAAGGGAGATGCAGTGCAGTGCAGCGCAGTGCAGCGCAGCGCAGTGCAGTTGGGGGTCCCACAATAAAAGCTTTCGGAGGCATGCAGTTGTGGGGGAAGGGAGGCAAAACCCCCCCCCCCACCCGGGGAGAAAAGCGAAAGAAAGGCAATTTACTGTATAGGCTAGAAGGAAGAGGGAGGGACGGAGAGACGGAGAGAAGGTGAGCGGAGCATGTGGGAGAGGGGAAGAAAAAAAGAGGTAATAGGTTGTATATACTACGTACGTGTAGATGGAGAAGTCGAATCAGGTGCAATCATGTCTATGTGTGCTTGAGTCGTGCGTAGGTTCCGGTCATCGCGGAAGCGAAAACGAAAAAAATGAGGTTACATGGTTGGGCATTTGCGGTCGTGACTCTCTCTCTCTGTGTGTGTGTGTGTGGATGATGCAGCGTTAGGCCAGGTGTGGTACGTACGTACAACTATGCTGGCGAGACAAACGGCAATGCCGAAAGGCGAGGGTAATTCTGCCTTGTAGGGTGCAAGCAAGCAAGCGTAGGCGGCATGCCCACGTGCCGAAAAGGCCCACCAAGCAGGACCGTTTGGAAGCTGTGGCTGCAAAGTTAGCACTACTAGGCGCGAGGCTTTCACGCAACAAAGGTACAACAAGACGACTACTGGGAGAAATATCATCATAAGTTCTTCTATAAAGTGCCAGAGGGTATCATAGAAAACCCCCGATTAAGGGTACAGTAATACTGTTTCAAAACCATCCTTTGTTCTTGCCGGACCCTGCTTCTCACAACCTCCATGCCTTTACCTATCGCAACTCGAAGCAGGATTTAAGTTTCTTATCCACCAGACGCCGAGGGTAGCGTATCCAACCAATGT